ATTATTCATCCTAAAGACTGGTTTATTATTTTCTGGTATGCATTTCATGATCATACGAAGCAGAATGCATTATTATATGAAGACTGATGGGTATATACGCTGTTAACGATTTAACAGCCGATCGCGCGTTGTTAATTGCTCGTATATTTTTTTATGTTTGCCAGAATTATTCGGGAGTACGTGGATATGTACGTGGGCACGGTTGCACGGTCTTATGAACCGTTCTCTCGGTTCCTCTCTCTCTCCGTGAGCTGCGGGTTTCACCGAAAGAGGTGAACGTTTTGTTTACCGACGTTCCATCTCGATGGATTCATCGTCGAGCGGCGGTGTCAGCAGAAACGGGCGTTGCAAATAAAGTGAGGGAAGCGGGAACGTCGGGGCTCGACCCGGCCGTCGCCTCGCCGTTTCGTTCATGAAACCGCGTGCCAATGTTTCGCGTTCTTCTCACCGAGAAACGAAATAAACGGACACTCTGCTTTCCAAATTTTAGATACACTTCGATTAATTGATAAATGCGTTTCATGCAACGTTCGACGAATTTTATGTTTAAGATTGTCACTTCTTTCAATATCAGGTTTAGAAGAATCCTATTTAAGGTAGCCTAAGTTAGGTAAGTTAAAAATACATGACTGTGGAAATGATAAAATATATTTAATAATGAAATTTTCACTTCGTATTCTTATTTTAAAATATGGCCGTTTTTTCATACCCAAAAAGCTACCTTAAATTCTGTGAAACGAATTTGTTATTGAAAATAAACGTGATTGTAGGATGGGAGCGACGAGCGAGGTTGAAGAAGATAACCATAGGTATCTGAAACTGCCGGTATCGACATTTATTTATAATAAGAAGTATAATAATTATTTTATATACACGTGAGACGATGTAACGGCAATTAAAACATTCTTAACTCGTGTCGGTAACGTCCGCGGCCGACAGAAACGGCCCAGACGTAACTCAACATGATAAAACAATAACATATGTATTTTATGTATGTATAAATACTTCATATGTCGTCCGATATGACAGTGGCGTAATTTTTGTAATAAAAACTGACGTACAATACATACAAATTATTGCATTATGCCCCGGCGCAAATATAACAAATATAATAATTTCGTTCGACCAAACGATTCTAATTAACGTACAATTTCCGTAAAAGACGTATTTTACATTAATAATCATTTTTATGTGTTGCCAAAATTTACGCCGCTGTTGAACGAAAATTTCGAAAACCAAAAGACAACGTAGTAGCTCTTAAACTCGTGTCTAAATAATCTCCTAAAAAGAAATGTTTGAGTGGCTCGATATAATTTATAGAGCTACCGTATACAGATCATTTTTGTGCCATAGGTACTAAAATCGATATCACTGTTCGCTTGATCACCCGGTACGAAAATGTACCGGCACGCGTTCTTCTCTTGAACGTTTGAGATCCATCGGGTGTATGCGATCCGCTAAAACCCTTTGATGACGAACGCTCGCCGTCCCATTCGCACTACGCGATCGAACACGCTCGTAGGTACTAATATAATAGAAGCAGATCCCATTAGTTAGTCGAATTAGTTTTCTGGAACGCGATTCGAATCGCTTTTAATTCTCCCCGTTCCGCGGCGCGAAACCAACGCCTAGCTTGTTTTAGAGTAACCAAAGAAATAATCGTCAGGCTGTTCCAGTATTGATGGTAGAAGAGGGGTTGATTGTACGTGAGAAAATAAGTCAAAAATATCGACTAAATTTTACTCATTTCATTTTTTGTCTTCGAGAAATAACATAAACTGCCGTATTTATTTTTAGGAATAGAGTTTTCAATTTCTATGAAAGATGGAACAAAATGGCGTTGAATAAGTCAGAAATATCGAATAAATTTTACTCATTTCATTTTTTGTCTTCGAGAAATAACATAAACTGCCATATTTGTTTTTAGGTATAGAGTTTTCAATTTCTATGAAAGATGGAACAAAATGGCGTTGAATAAGTCAGAAATATCGAATAAATTTTACTCATTTCATTTTTTGTCTTCGAGAAATAACATAAACTGCCATATTTGTTTTTAGGTATAGAGTTTTCAATTTCTATGAAAGATGGAACAAAATGGCGTTGAATAAGTCAGAAATATCGAATAAATTTTACTCATTTCATTTTTTGTCTTCGAGAAATAACATAAACTGCCATATTTGTTTTTAGGTATAGAGTTTTCAATTTATATGAAAGATGGAACAAAATGGCGTTGAATAAGTCAGAAATATCGAATAAATTTTACTCATTTCATTTTTTGTCTTCGAGAAATAACATAAACTGCCATATTTGTTTTTAGGTATAGAGTTTTCAATTT